CCCACAACCCCACCAACATTTGTTATTGTGTGATTTCTTGATAGCAGCCATTCTTTGTGGGGTGAGGTGGAATCTCAGTGTTATTTTCATCTGCATCTCTCGAATGACCAGTGATGTGGAACATTTTTTCAAATATTTTCTTGCTGCTTTTACATCTTTGTCTGAGAAATGTCTGTTCATTTCGGATGCCCATTTTTGAATCGGGTCTTTATATTTGGGGGGACTGATTGTTTTGAGTTCTTTATATATCCTTGATAATAGTCCTTTGTCTGAGGAACAGCTGGTAAAATTTTTTTCCCACATTGTAGATTGTCTCTTAGTTCTGCTGATGGTTTCTTTTGAAGTACAGAAGATTTTTAGTAAGATGAGATCCCAGTTGTTGATTATATCTGCTAGTTCCCGTGCTACTGAGGATTTGTTCATAAAGTCTTTTCCTATACCAATGTTTTCCAGAGTTCTGCCTAACTTACCTTCCCGCAAGTTTAATGTTTCTGTTTTAATATTTAGATCTTTAATCCATTTGGATTTTAATTTAGTGCATGGTGAAAGATAAGGGTCTAATTTTAATCTGTGGCTGGTTGACATCCAGTTTTTCCAACACCAGTTATTAAAGAGGTCATAGCCTCATTTTTGAAGATTTGAGATTAAAGCTTTTTCTTACCTTAACTAATAATACCTTGTGAAGGTATTTATTGATATTAATGAGACTTCAACTCCAACTCTAATGCAAAATGACTCATTGATACAGCACATTTATGATAAATGCAATCATTTTGATGAATGCATTAATCATTTCTAGCTATGGCATGCAGTGAATCTGTATATCACAACAATTACTCTTTTCTTCAAAGACATTAGAACTATTTCAAATACATATGTTAGGAGGGAGAAAATAAAAATTAGATATTTTAGTATTAGTTAATGCCATTTAACTTTCAAGTCACAATCCTAAACAATTATTAATTGTACAGCCTTGTTCTTTATAAATAAAGAGCACATATCAGTGTCTCAGTTCACTTTTTTTCTGCTAAAGTACAGTGTAAAACCAGAAATGAAAAATATGTAATCTAGACAGATGTCAGAAGCATTATTAGCTCTTTCTAGATTTCTCTAAACACAACCTTTTGATATTAGAATTGTCTGGTGACATTTGGGTTCAAAATTAGTCGTTTGGACGCACACATAGGTCAACACTGAGCACAAGAAGCTCTAGATGTTAAATGGCTAGAGCAACAGTCATGACATGTCCCCACGTTTTCGTGCCTTAGGTTTTAACTAAGGTCTGCATGCTTTAATATGTCTGCAGAAGTCAATTAGAGCAAACCTGCCTACTTGGAAATAAATTAGAAAACTGAGTTCATTCTTAATATATTTTCAAACAAATATAGTAGCAAATTGTTGCAATATAGGCAGTCTCTGAATACTCTAGCCTTAATTAATGGGTACATTAATAATCTGTATAGGATAATATATTAATCAAGTATTTCAATATGAATTAACTAATTTCATACTCAATTTCATTTTATTTTGGTGAATGTATGTTATTTACTATACCTATCAACCAATTAGTATTAAATTATCTAGAACATTATTTGATTATCAGAATCTGTATGTCTTTCGAGTTTTATTTTTCTATAATTCTTCCTTAGAGAAAAGTGTTTACTTCAAAGCAGATGTTTCCAACCTGCGATCCCTAGGCCCCATGTGGCCCTGGATGCTAGAAATGAAGCCCTGAAATATCATGCAACTTGAAAATTTATTATGTGATTTTAGTGATTTTTTTAAATGACTCACTTGTGTGGTCCTTTAGCATGAACTGTGTAGGTGACAATGGAGCCAGACATCGATCCATCGGTTTCACAAAGTAAGGTCACATAGCACACCTGTTTTATGTTGATATTGCCCTCTTTTTTGTTGTATTAAAATATAAAAATAAAGGAAGTTCCATTACTTACATACATAAACCATATAACATTTTATACAAGCCTCAAAATGATTCCTCTCTCCTCTGTGTGGTCCAGTCAAAAAACAAGTTTACTCGTGTTCTAAAGGTCAGAGATAAAGATTGTTTAAATAATACTCGGAGGCCATTTCTCAAATATTGAGATATCTTAAAATCTATTTAGAAAAATACAGTCACTGTCAATGTTCTGGACCTCACATACAATATGCCACCAATAAGTGTATTGTGGATGAACAGAGGCATTGTGGGATAAATTGTGAAATAAAGTAGGATTAATGAGTCCTGGAATCTAGAACTGATATTTAAAAATGTTAGAATAGTGAGTATAATTATTGTGAATGTTCCTTTTTTTTTGTTAAAAACAATTCTTGACTGATCAAGAATGTTTGTGTTGTGTTTTGTAAAGATATGAACATTCCAGGCTTGCTTAGAAGATAAAATATGGTCAGCTATGTGGAAATGTGAAAAAGGTAGAAAGCTTAGAAAAAAGTTGGAGGGAGGGAGTAAGGTAGAGTGACAGAAAAGTGTAAGTAAACCAAAAGAATCCAACTTAATGACTATGCAGAAAAGTTCAAGAAGTGTAATTAAAACCAATTTGAAAAAGTGTTTTCTTTCAACTAAAATTTATACAGTAATTGATGTATTATACAAATAAATCTACTTTGAAGATTTTTTTCTTGGAGAGAACAATTTAAAGTAGTATTAAAAATGTTCCCATGCAATAACCATATAACTATTTTAAAAGGAGATTAAATAAATAAATCAAAAACATCATGGAAACTCATGAAATAATTTGGATTAAAATTAATACGTGCCAGTTTTTCTTAAAATAAAGTATATTTCAGAAGTTATAAAAAGGTTTTGTAAATAGGGAAGGGAGGAGGGGGTGAAGGGAGGGCAGGGACAAGGTGAAAAAATGAGAACCAAGACCTGTCATCCCAATGATAAATGTAACTGTACTGTATACCTGAAATGTGCCAATAAAGTAGAAAAAAAAGAAGTTATACTTCCAAGACTTGGACATTGATTAATATTGAGCAAAAAGGAAATTATGAACTCTGAGCAAATTTTTATGAAGCTGGAATGGAGAGTTTAATTAGACTATGGAAACTTTAAAATTAAATAGCACTCCCCCCATGAAAGTTATAGTCACATTGGATACTGCAAGATTAGATTGTGGGAAGTAAGGAATGAAGATTCAAAGACAAAATGGAATGGATAGCATGGGATTAAAATGCTGCCTAAAAGTAAAAAGTAAAAGGAATGATAAAAGAATGAAGACTACTTCCCTATTGTTTATCCTCTGGTCCCTCCCATTCTATTCATAGTTAAGCCCAAATCATCAGTTTTTAAAGTTCCTTTACCTTGATTTCTGGATATCACAAAATCCCATCCATCTCTTCTGATTCTTATAAGAGAAATATCAAAGTTCTTGAGTTCTGCAGTTTACCACTTTGATCCCATTCCACTGAAGTTAAGCTCACTAAAGAGATTAGCTACTTTCTTGGCATTATGTGTGATTGACCCTTGTGGATGAGTAAATTTGTTATTTTACTTCCATTCCGCTGCCTCTCTGTGTGTCACTTGCAAATTCCTTCCACACAACCTATTTTTTGCGGGGAAGGGGTACCGGGATGGAACTCGGGACCTTGCTCTTTCTAGGCAGATGGTGGAACCACTGAGCTAAATTCCCAGCCCTTAAAATGTCTAATTTTTGAAATTTGAAGTGGTCTTTTTCTCCTGCTTTTCTCTTACAGTGCTTTTTTTTTTTTTTTTTTTTTTTACCTTTGTTTTGGTAAGGTGACAATCTTAGTTAAAATTAAAGAAAATTTCAGTTATAAAACTATTGACTCCTTCCTTATTAATGTAGCTGTTCCTTGAGGGATTTATGTTTAATTCTGCCACTTAGCTGTGATCCCTGCATGCGAGTCTTCTAGCCTAGCTTTTTTTTTTGAGTTTCCAAGGAACATATGTTCATGGTTAAAATTTCAAACCTGGATATGGCAGAAATTGTGATTAACATAAATGGAAAAAGTGTCCTAATTCCCAGATTGGAGGAGAAATTTAGTTTAGTCATTTCTCTGTCACGGAGTATATTGATTGTATCATTTCGGTATATTCTGGGTGGATATTAATCTAGTCCAGTGTTATGTAATTCTGGTAGCACCCCACTATACTGGTACTGCTTGGATCCTAACTCTTTGTATTCTGTGCTAAGCTAAATACATCTTTGTTTATTTGAACCTACTAATGCTCATTGTAGGCTTGCACTCTGGTTTAGATTTGTTTCCATTTTTTCCTTATACATTCGTTACATTACTACATGGTCAATATTTATTTCTGAGATAAAAGAGATGGAGGGACAGAATTTGGGGAATGAATGCGCTCATTTTTCCTATCATTAAAAGTACTTGTGTCAATTTACATGAAGCCAAAATGTCACTGTATTCTAAAGTTCTAGATCATCCAGCCACTTTATGTCTAATTCAATACCATTTATGGTTTTGAATATCTGCTTCCTTTCTATTACCTTTATCCTGGTTTCGTCATTTAACACATTTATGCTGTGAGTAGACATACGCATTCCTATTGCCTTGCATAAATCCCTTCTAGTGTATACCACCTTTCATGGAAATATTTTGTTAAATGTGGCTAATTTATATATTTTAACTACTGTAACTGCAGTAAATGTTTTTCTTTTCACCAATATTTCAGCTTTTGTGTAATATTTTAATTAGCTATTACTCAATTTATTTATTCTTGTAAATAAGGAGTAGCTTCCTGAATATGAACTAGGTTATTAACTAGACAAGCAAAATGTTAACATATTAACTTAAATAAGTGCTCTACCTAGTCTATTTAAACACATACTTAATGCAATGTATGATGCTATTGGATTATATTTCAAAAAAATATCTATTTGTCATTATGGATAATAAAAATTTAGGAAAGTATTTCTTTGACCATGTGGTTTACACATCATTCATTGCAATTCATATTTAAAATCAAAATTAATTGTCCTTCAATTTTTTTTCAGCTCTTCTTCAAGTGACAATTTCACTTAGCAAAGTAGAGCTAAGTGTGGGCGAATCTAAATTCTTCACATGTACAGGTATGTATTTTGTACAAAATTCCAGACAGATTTATTTTATATTTAATTATTGGTAAAATAGATTGGTTCAATTTTAGAGCTGTAAAGCTCACTTTCTTAAAAATAACTTATCATTGCCTTTATGATGATCAAAAATTATTTAATAGCCATGTTTTGCCTATTAATCTCTGTGAATATAATTTCTGTTATTTTTCAGGTTATTAATTTTTGACTGTCAAACTAGATTATTTTAAAATAACATGTTATGAATAACTTACAGTGCATGAATAATAATATCTTAAATAAATTTATATATTTCCACCTAACTACTAATATTTGGATAAATGTAAAATTATAACTGAGCTGTCTTTATAAATAAGCAATGGATAAATTAGATATGGCACAGTAAAGTTTAGTTACATCTGAATAAAAATTGTAGGACAAAGAATCCTAACATTTGAAAAGGTAACTATTCATATAAATTACATAGTTATTTAATGAAGAAAGCTTTTCCAAGAGCTATTAATGAAATGTATTATATTTCATGATAACTATTAAAATTATATGAGCCTTATTTAGTTTAATCACAAAAATAAGGACTCTTTCAGAATACATTTAAGTACTGGACCATCAAATTCTTATTGAGTATTATAAAATTCACAGGTAAAAATATTTTGCATCTATTTAGACTCATCTAATTCATTTATATACAGTCCAGATTTTGTAACTAGAGTACAAAATAGAAATATATTTATATTAAATATTATCTATTATAATAAATATATTTACTCAGTGATAAAATTGCTTTTGAGGACGTTTTAGAAATGTTTCTGTTCTTTATACTGAAGCAATTCAAACTTGGTTTGGGGTAAATCTTACTAAATGGAGTGTGTGGTAGAATTTATCTTGAGAATGATGCTTATTTAAATTGTTTTTAAATGTAATAAAATAGAAACACGGTTATCATAACATATTCATGAAGTATATCCAGAGTACATGTGTGAAAATTATCACATTTTGAAGAAATTAATGGCACCTATGATTCTTCATGTATCTGTTATTCTAAGTGTCTCAATTCATAAGTCTAGTAGTTCAATGTATTTTCAAAATTTGTAAATGCAGCAGTAAGGATCTGTCCAACACCACACATTATATCAGAAGAACTGTTATGAGAATATAGTTCTGTCAGTGTTATTCATATTACATTTACACAGAAGCAGGTATCCATATTCACACTCAATTTTATTACATGAAAATAGAATAATAAAATAATTACAATAAATTTTGAAAATAAAAGCATAAAAGTTTATTATGTTATACATTGCCAGATCACTATGATGTGTTGCAGTAAATTCTGTGTATTGAAATTCCTCAAAACAAGATCTGAGTGAAAAGTATTAATTAACATCATTCGATCACAATGAGATACTTCTTTTCCTTCTTTTTTCTGGTGGGGGAGTAGAGTATAGGCACAGAGAATCACACAGAGGGTCTGGTGTATTTTAAGCACTCTACTTCTGAGTTATATTCTAGCTCTTGAGTATTTTAGTAAGAAAGTAAATAAATAAGCATTTTTCCATTTACATAAAGACGTATAACCAAGAGCTGTGCCAATGTTGTGGAAGTAGTATAATTTGTGATAATTGTATTACTAAACAAGAAACTAAAAATAAAGATAGGTGAAGCCATGCAAATAAGAATGCTTATATTTTACACACACACACACACACACATATATGTATATGTATATATATGTTTTTGTTTTATATATATATAAAGCAAATGTGCTATGTGATCTAAATAAAAATGTATTATATGCATCTAGTGATTTTTTTTTTTTTGGTACAGGGGATCAAACCTGGATCCTTGTGCTAAGGAGGCAGGCAGGAGAACCACTGAGCTAAATAAAACAAGTATTTTTGTGTAACATATCCAAGAAAATAAAAATACATAATGATATTTATTAACAGTTCAGTCTTACCAACACTGGAATTTTTGATAGAAATTATATTTACTAGAAATTCTAAAAGAATGAAAGTTATGATGGTTGTGTAAAATACAGAATAGATTCACCATGACTTTTCTAACAAACTTTAGGAAATAAAATATCCAATTTTTTTAGATTTCATAATCAATCTGCAGTAAAAAATTAATGTGGTGTTCATTTATACTATTTCTTTCCACTTTTTCTACAGAAATACAAATAAAACAAATACTGCCTAAATGCACTATATTATAACTACCATGGTTTATGGTTTAGCATAGCTAATATGCATTTAAAATTCTACCTTTTTCATATTTTAACTTGTCCAATTTTTTAAAAAAAGATAATTTGTTTCTAAAGGAATTTCATAAGAACAAATCAGGAGGAACAATTTTCTTAAAAGAGGTCCCATAGCGATATTACTAAATTTATAAATTTTTCCAGTACTTTTGAGTTAGTAATACGGGCTGCTGACACAAATAATCTCTCAGATAATTAGATCAAATACATCCATTTGTAACTACAAGCAAATACAGATAACTGTAGCTTTTACAAAATAGTAATAACTTTTACTATTTAGCTTTTACTAAGTTAGTTTCTTCTGAATTATAAAACTTGATGTTTGTATTGTGACAATTTGATGGTAATTGCCTAGCAGGATGAGTATCATTTCCATATATTGTAATTATCATATGCTTCAGTAGTTAACAAGTTTAGATTAAAGATAGAACTACTAATTTCAGTTGGGGAAAGAGATTAGGATTTCATTTTAACAATAATTATTGGCCTTCTACAAAGGGACAACTTGGGAAATTAATTTAAAATTCAGAATTATGGTTTCAATTTTTGTAAGCTCTTTATTAAGGAAAATATCGCTGAATTTTTACTCTCACAAGATAACTTATCATGGGAAATTTTATTAATATCCATATTTTTGTTCAAATATTCCTGTCAAGTGCTTTTTTTCTGGGTCACACAGTTTAATACTTAAATATAGTAATAATCCATAGATGATTGTTATAAAATTTTGACTCTCAGAACTCAAAGACTGGGATAGAACTTTCTTGTGGGTTTTGAATTTTGCTTGCATCCACAGAGTTGCGTAGTCTGTATTGGGTAAACAAAGATTTACATTTGTGTTAACATTTGTGTTTCTTTTCCAATTTGAGTGATTTTCAGATTACTAGTCTTCTATTTATACTTTTTCCAAATTGTTGAAATTTTACTTGATAACAAATATTTCTGCCAAAACAAACAGCTGAATGTATGTCCAAATGCCTGTTTCTTTTCCATGACTCTGTGCAGCAATTGGTGAGCCTGAGAGTATAGATTGGTATAATCCTCAAGGAGAGAAGATTATTTCAACACAGAGGGTGGTAGTGCAGAAGGAGGTCGGCAGGTCACGACTAACCATCTACAATGCAAACATAGAAGATGCAGGGATTTATCGTTGTCAAGCAACAGATGCCAAAGGACAAACACAAGAAGCTACAGTAGTTTTGGAGATTTACCGTAAGTCAAATACTTATTTAATTTTACTTTGTTATAGAGAACTCAAAGAAAATATGTTGAATAGTATAAGCTGACACTCAAGAACAAATTATGTGATACATAGTGTTCTAAGACGTGTTAAACTTCAGTACATTTTAAAATACATACTTGGTAATAGTTAAATCTGTAAATGTAGCTAATTCTATAGGTTTAATGATATAAACAAAATTATTAAAATTTTCTCAATACAGTAAGCTTCCTTTGTATAAATTATTTGTTATTTGGTAGTATGAACTATACTTGGTGTAAATTTTAACTTGAAAATAATGTATGATGGGGAAAAATTACATACATGTGTCATATCTACTATTTTTAATAGAAATAGCATGAATCTGGGGAAAAATAAAATGAACAGAAATAGAGAAAAAAAGCTGAAAATCAGCCTAGTGGAGAATAATATCTCCTCAAGATTCTTCATCACCAGGTATTTTCATTAACAAGATTTTCAAAATGTGCATATTTTATGCTTGAGGTGGATTGTTTTCCATATCCTTTTCTCTTTCTTATATTTAAAAATCATTAACTGGTGATTTCACAGGATCACCATACACTGCTTTCACAGAATCACTGTGAATATTATGATGTCCTTAAAAGCAAACTCTATAAATTACTTTTGTGACCTTGAGCAAATTGCCTAACCTCTCTGTCATCTGTGTCCCTATATATAAATGGATGTAATAGAACTTCCTTTATACATAGAGTTATTTTAAGGATTACATGAAGAACTAATATTGCATGAAGTCTTCACAACACTGCCTTACAACAATATATGTGGTTAATTTTTACATCTGTAAATATTATGTACATTTTTAGAATATGATATCCTAAGCTGTCACTTCTTTATAGCTGTATATCTTATTATTCTAGACTTAAGATATGGGAAGCCGGAGATTTAGCTCAGCGGTTCGGTGGCCTGCCTTGCAAGTGCAAAGATCCGAGTTCAATCCCCGGTACCAAAAAAAAAAAAAAAAAAAAAGATATGGGAAAATCATCAAGTCATTACCATAGTAAGGTTTTTGGTTCTCTAGCAAAGAATTTGTTAATATGGTATTGGTCTTATTTTTTAAAGGTTTGCACCCTCCTTTTGAAATCTGTGCCAAAGACATTTTTTTTCTTATTTATGTGACCAGCTACAGTACCTATTTCACATAACCAAAATTAAATCAAAGTGTTCAAGGGCACAGCATTTTTTTTTTCAGTACCTGGAATCTAACTCAGGACCTTGTGCTTGCGAGGCAGTCGGTGGAACCACTGAGCTAAATCCCTGGCCCTAGGGCACAGCATTTAAAAAATTTTTTTTAGTATTACAAATGGGCAAAGGAAGATCCCTTGTTTATTTGGTTTTAATTAATTTTATTGGTACATTTAATATATACACTGTAATGGCATTCATTGTTGAAAATTTGTGCCTTTACATATCAGTCTTGGTTCTTATTTTTTCCCCATTCCCCTACCCTCCTTTCAACCCCTCCCTCCCTCCCTATGTAAAAATAGTTTATTTCTGTTATTTTTCATTTTCTTATACTTTTTCCATTCCCTTCTCACCTTTTCCCTATCCTTTACATTTTTCCTTCCCTTTGTCCTTTTTCTTCCTATTTCACATTATCTCTTGTACCTTTAAATCCTTATTTACTCTTTCATTTTCTCATACAAGAGAAACTACTTGGCATTTACACATATATGTCCTATTTATTTCACTTAGTATCACCTTAATCTGCATCCATTTAGATATAAATATCTCTAATATCTTATTTTTATGGCTGAATAGTACTCTTTTAGAAAAAAAAATGCATTTTCTTTTTCTTTTTCCTCATTGAGTTTATTGGTACATTTTAGGTATACAGTACAGTTACATTCATCATTGGGATCTTGTACCGTTACATGACAGGTCTTGGTTCTCATTTTTTTCCCCTTGTCCCTGCCCTCCCTTCAACCCTCTCCCCCTCCCCATTTACAAACATTTTATTTCCATTTTAGTTAGCAATAGCTAAAACTTGGAAACAGCCCATATGCCCATCAGTTAGAAACTGGATAAAGAAGATGTGGTTTTTCTATAAAATGGAATACTACTCAGCCATAAAGAATGAGAAATTAGATTCATTCATAGGAAAATGTATACATATTGAGGATATGCTCCTAAGTGAAATAAATAAGTCAGTCATGTGTAAATACTGAATAGTTTCTCTGGTGTGAATAAACTATAATAGTACATAAGGTCCTAATGAGATATTTGACAATATGAAATGTGAAGAAAAGGACTAAAGGTGTAGGGGAAGTGGGAAGGGTAGGGGAAAGGTAACAAGGGAAAAAAATAGCAGAAAATGCATTTTCTTTATCTAGTCTCGTGGTGACGGGCAGCTGGGCTGCTTGCAAGTTTTAGCTATTTCAAAATGTGCTGCTGTGGACATGAGTGCACATATGTCACTGTGGTATGATTCTTTTAATTCTTGGAGGAAAATACCCCGCAGAGGAAGAGCTGGGGAAAATGGAACTTCCAGTCCCTGCTCTTTGTGGTATCTGCATACCCACTTTAACAGTGGGTGCACCAGTCTACACTTCCAGCAGCAGTGGAGCAGGGTTCCTCTTTCCCCACAGCTCAGCTCGTCTGTTCTTGGATGATTTCATGACAGCAGGCGTTCTTTCTGGGGCCAGATAGAATCTTAGCATTGTTTTTGTTTGCATTTCTCGAATGACCAGTAGTGACAATGAACATTTTTTCCATAGTTTTATTTAGTATTTCTTCTTTGTCTGAGAAATATCTGTTTATTTCAGATGCCCATTTTTGAATGGATCTTTAAATTTGGGAGGTCAATTTTTCAAAAGTTCTTTATATATTTTGGATAGTTGACCTTTGTCTTAAGAACACTGGTGAAATTTTTTTCCCACACTGTAGGTTGTCTCTTCACACTGTTGATGGATTCTCTTGATGTGCATTAACTTTTTAATAAGACGAGATCCCACTTATTGATTGTTTGTGCTGCTTCCCATGAAACTAAGGTTTTGTTCATAAAATCTTTTCCTATGCCAATGTCTTCAAGAGTTCTACCTAACCTCTCTTCCAGCTGGTTTAGTGTTTCTGTTTTAATACTTAGCTCTTTAATCCATTTTGATTTTAGTTTAGTTTAGTACATGGTGAGAGATATAGGTCTAGCTTTAATCTTTGGGAAATTTTAACCCAGTTTTTCCAGCACCATTTATTAAAGAGGCTATCTTTCCTTCTTTGAGTGTGTTTGGCTCATTTGTCAAAGATAAAGTGGTAGAGTGTGTCTGGAAGTGTTTCTGCATCTTCTAAAATGTTCCACTGGTTCTTAGGTCTGTTTCTTTGCCAGTACCATACTGTTTTTATCACAGTAGCTTGGTAGTATAGTTCAAGTTGTGGACTGTGATACCCCCTACCTTTTCTTTATTGCCTAGAATGGCTTTTGCTATTCTAGGTCTCTTCTTGTTCCAAAGGAATTTTTGTATTATTTTTCCAAGGTCTGTAAGTATACTGCTGGGATTTCAACTGGGACTGCATTGAATCCGTATAGCAGTTTTGGAAATATGGCCATTTTCACTATGTTGATTCTTCCTATGCAGGAGCAAGGGCTATCTTTCTATTTTCTAATAGCCTATTCAATCTCTTTTTTCAGTGTGCTATAGTTTGCAGAGCAGAGGACTTTTTTTTTTTCTTTTTTGGTACTGGGGATAAAATCTGGGTCCTTGCACTTGTAAGGCAAGTGGTGGCACCACTGAGCTAAATCCCCAGCCCTCTTTGATTTCTTTTGTTAAATTGATTCCTAGGTATTTCAATTTTTTTGGATGCTATTGTGAAAGGAATTGATTGCCCCATTTTTCTCTCAGTGAGTCTGTTTTTCTTGTACAGAACAGCTATTGTTTTTTGTGTGTTGACCTTGTATTCAGCTACTTTACTGAATTTGGTTACTAAGGCTAGAAGACTTTTGGTGGATTTCTTGGGGTCTTCTGTATAGAGTATCGTATCATCTGCAAATACTGACAATTTGACTTCATTTCCTATCTTTATTGATTTATTTTTTAAATCTTGTCTAATTGCTGTGGTTAATTTTTCCAAAACTGTAATGAACAGTAGTGGTGATAGTGGACATCCTTGTCTTATTCCTGATTTTAGTGTGAAGGATTTCAGTTTTTGACCATAGGCTGTTTGTTTTTCCTAGATGACTTTTATGAGATTGAAGTAGAGACTATCTATTCCAATTTTCTGTAGGGCTTTCATCATGAATGCATGTTGGATTTTTTTCAAGTGCTTTTTCTGCATCTATTGAGATGATGAGATGGTGTTTGTCCTTGGCTCTATTAATATAGTGTAATACATTTATTGATTTGCCTATGTTGAACCATTCCTGCATCCGAGGGATGAACCCCACTTGGTCAGGGTGTATGATTTTCTTGATGATCTTCTGCATTCTATTTGCCAGTATCATATTAAGGAGTTTTACATCTGTGTTCATTAGCAAGATTGGCCTGTAGTTCTCTTTTATGATTAGGTCTTTCTCTGCCTTGGGGATGAAGGTGATGGTAGGTTCCAGGAATGAATTTGGGAGTATTGCTTCCCTTTTAATTTCATTGAAGAGTTTAAATGGTAGTGACAGTAGTTCTTCTCTAAATGTCTTGTAGAATTCAGCAGTGAAGGCATCAGGGACATGGATTTTATTAGTTGGTGAGTTTTTAATTACATTGTCAATTTCATTGATTGATACTAGGTTGTTTAGAATTTTTAGGTCATCTTCATTCGACTTTGGTCATACATACTAATCTAGGAATCTGTTCATGTTTTTGTATTTTCTGTGTTATTGGTGTAAAGGTTCTCCAAGTAGATATTGATAATCCTCTGCTGGGACCATTTTAATTCACCCTTCTCATTCCTAATTGTATGGATTTGGACCTTTTCTTTCCTTTTTTTTTTTTTTTTGATAAGGTTGGCTAAGGGTTTGTCAATTTTGTTTATTCTTTCAAAGAACCAACTCTTGGCTTCATTGATATTTTCTACCATTCTCTTAGTCTCCATTGTATTGATTTCTGCTCTGATCTTTATAATTTCCTCCCTTGAAAGAGCTTTGAGTTTGTCCTGCTCTTCTTTTTCTAGAAGCTTGAGATTCAGCATCAGGTTATTTAATTACACTTGCTCTGTTTTTCTAATATGTGTATTCAGTGCTATTAATTTCCCGCATAAGACTGCTTTCATTGCGTCCCATAGATTCCAATATGTTGTATTGCCATTGTCATTTGATTTTAGGAACTCTCTGGTTTCTTTTTTAATATCCTCATTTGTTATTCAGAAGTGTGTTGCACAATTTCCGTGTGTTTGTGAAATTCTTGTAGTTTCTTTTGCTCTTGATCTCCAATTTCATCACACTATGGTCTGATAATATACTGGGGAACATTTCAGTTCCTTTGCACTTACTTAGGCATGTTCTATGAGCAACTATGTGGTTCATTTTGGAGAACAACCCATGTGCAGCTGAAAAGAATGTGCATTCTGATTTTGTGGGGTGGGACACTCTGTAAACATCTGTTAAGTTCATTTGTTCAAGAGTTTGATTGTTTATTTATTTATTTTTGGTACCAAGGATCGAACTCCGGTCCTTGTGCTTGCGAGGCAGGCAGTGGAACCACTGAGTTAAATCCTCAGCCCTTGTTGTTCGTTTTCTGTCTAGTTGATCTATTTGTGACAGTGGGGTATTGAGGTACCCCTCTACTATTGTGTTAGTGCTTATTTGATTTTTCATGTCTGTTAGTAGTTATTTGGGGGGGGGTTTGTTTTGTTTTGTTTTGTTTTTGTTTTTTGAGACAGGGTCTCACTATGTAGTTGAGACTGTCCTGGAACTCACTATGTAGTCCAGGCTGGTCTCAAACTCACAAATATTTGTTTTATATAGTTTTTAATCTCCTTGAAATCTGTTTGCATCTGTTTTATGGATTCCATTTGTTTCCAGTGTTGGGATCCCATCATGTTCCTCAGCTCCTCCATTTTTTATCTATGTCTACTCTAGATTTATTAATCATGTCTTGCACTATGGGCACAACCTTTGCTGATATCTGAGTACTTACTTCTGATTTGATTTTTTCCAGATCCTCTTTTGTTACCAGTTCAGGGAGTGTGGGGTGGGGGTGAGTATAGATTGTTCCATCTCATTCCCTTTGGGGTTGCATTAAGTGATCTGGATGTCTGGTTGGACTTGTTTGCATGTCTTCTCATTACAAGAGACGCAGCCTGCTTTGCTTTTGTTGAAACAACTCTGTGATCACTCAGTAGTCTTCATTTCTCAGCAAGCCATCAAGAGGCCTCTGTTGTGCTGCTCCCCAATACAAAACTTCCTGGATTCAGAATGGTGGCCTTCTGGATCCCTCAGCTCACCTGTTTTCTAGGCAGGCTTCTGGCTGGGGCCTGAGTACATTTGGGATGGTATTTAAGTTTGCCTCTTGCTGGGGTTTCTATGCCGTGCTCTCTGGGAGGGCCTTTGGCCTCAGGCTGTGCTCCTCAGTTCCTGTTGTCTGAGTAGCCTTCTGGCTGGGGTCTCTGCCAGAAAGAGTATAGGGGTGAGCCTGTAAGTGAAGCTTGTGTGCCTGTGTAGCTATTTTCCAGGTGGGCCCTTGACTGGGTGAGTGTGTCTGAGCCTATGGGGTCAGGGTGGATCCTTGGCTGGGATCTGCCTGACTGTAACCACACCTGTCTGACCACAGAGCTACTCCTCCATATCTGGCGCTAGGGGGTGGGCCTCTAACTGAAAACTGTTCACCTGTGCAGCTCCTTCCTTGGTAGGCCTTGGCTGTGTGGCTTTGCCTGAGCCTCTTGGGTTCTTGGTGGATCCCTGGCTGGGACCTGTCTGCAGCCAGGCTGGTCTGAACCACACCACTGCTCCCCCATCACCTTGTTTGTTTTTGTGAAGATTGAAAAAAACATGAAATCTTTAGTGTCACAACAATGCTTACTTTCGGGAAAATTCTTATCAAGCAAAATTATCTATGTTCCTTTCATTGAGGTCTGTCTATTGCCAGCCTAAGTCCTAGAAAATAAATACTGCAATTGAAAAAAAAGAATATGGTATATATACATGCTATGAAATCTTAAAGAAAAGAAATTAATTGGAATAGAAGTGTAAGAAAAGCAGAATGGGGAGAGATATTGATATTTCATAGAAAGGGTCTGGGCAGAAATCTGAATGAATTTTATGAAGTATAAATGTCCAGGGCAAGAGTAAATCTGAAAAACTCAAAGGAATATGAGGAAAAGAGTTGTTTCTGAAGCACAGTGTCTAGGATGGAGGTGAAATGGATCAGTTATGGGGTAACCTCCAGTTCACAGGATGTACTATGGCACTGTAATAACTCTAGAGTTTATTCTCAATAAAATAAGAACTTATAAGCAGAGGAATTATTTTATTTGGTTTAACATTTTAAAAGACTAAGGCTTACCTAATTATTTTACCATAGCATAATAAACACGTTTTCTAAAATGTATTATTGTGAAAAGTAATGATTGTCTTGTGAACTATTTTACTTTCTGGATACAGAAAAACTCACTTTCAGAGAAGTTGTATCTCCTCAAGAATTCAAGCAAGGAGAGGATGTGGAAGTGGTTTGCCGAGTCAGCAGCTCACCTGCACCTGCTGTCAGCTGGTTGTATCATAACGAGGAAGTCACCACTATTTCCGACAGTTAGTATTTTGGTAACTCCCTAAGTTATATGTTCTAAAAATATTGCAACTTGTGATAATGCTGGATGAATGTGGCCAATTAAAAAATGTAAGTTTTGACCTAAAATGTCAAACAATCATTTTGACAACTTCATAGGTGTAGCCTAGAGATGGTCCAACCATGGACATCAGGCCAAAACCAGGACCTGTTCTTATGAAACATAGCCCTGCCCAATAGTTACATATTTCCTGTGTCTCCTTTGGTGGTAGAGGTGAGCAATTGTGACAAGTGTTTTGCCCTCCTAAGACTATGATATTTATTTTTTTAAAAGATTGCTTACTAACATGTATTTGAAAGAAAAACTTAATACACTTTTCAACAAAATAATATGGAGGAAAAAGAATACATAGTGATGTGATATATTATAATTCAAACATAGCTCTAACAGCTCTGCATAGGTAAGCTTAACACCTTTATAAGTCCTGTTTATTATTCTCAGGCCATTTTTAAAAGATACCTACATGTTCGAAATACTATGGAAAAATGCATGTGTATAACAGAAAGAACATTTATTCAAATTTTCTTCATGATTTTGATTCAGACTGAGCTAAAATTCCAGAATAACATGACATTTGAAATTGAAAGCATAATTTGCTCACATTATACTTCTTTACCATTGTGCATGGGGAGCATTTTCAGTTTAGAATATTTTCAATGCACCTGCATTGCACAGAGGTACAAAATAATTGTATCTCTTAAAAGTATTTCCTATCTTGGATGCTTCCATTTGGTGTTTTTGAGAGATGAAATTTTTACAGCATAAAAGATAGAAAGTAGAGTATCTATTTTTGAATATGTAAAGATAATGTATCATAATCATGTTCAATAGTAATTTTTTAGTGTAAGATTATTTTTCTGAGCTTGACACATTCAGTGCCTGTAGATTTTGACAAAAACTCACTGTTAATGAAGAATGATACTTAATTTATTCTTGTCTTATTTAGTGTAACTGTTTCAGTTTTTATTAACAAATCATATGACTATATTGTACCATATATTTTAGCTTTATTTTTCTTGTAATCATAAAAAGGTTGTTTCTTTTCTTAATAGATAACAATGTCTACACATTTTCAGGTTATTTGATATGAAGTGCCATATATATGATTTATCATAAGCCTTATTAACAGGAAGATTTTGAACCAATTACATAATTTTAAATCTTGTAGAACAAATCCTCGAAAGAAAGGATAATCATTAAGGAAAGACTGATAGTTAAAGGGGTTGGGAATGGACAATGGTATTGCTATCATACAATTTACACCATTTCCCCCTAAAACTAAGATGGAATGATGTAAGTATGCAGTCCTTTTGGTTACTCTTTTCAATGGCCCTGAGTCATTGAAGACCTTTTATAATTGCTGTGCCCCTTATCAATTCTTCATGTGTGAAAAATAGATTATTTTATTCCATTCAAAAATTATTGAAAGTTTGGAAATTACACACTACACATGCTTAAATATTGATTAACTTAATAAATAAATTATTTGGTTAGGGATTGAATCCTCAATAAATTCCATTTATTTCATTTATTCTTCTCATTCTTACTGAGCTTTTAAAATCTTTTCAATTAGTTCTACTAACATTACATGTATATAGATTACATTTAAACAGAAAATGCAATGTACAGAAATTCACTGGAGTTAAAAATGAAACATAAACCTGAACTATATGGTGGCAAAAACAACAAAAACAAAAAGTGAAAGTAATAGGCCTTGAATATTATTTAAATTATTGAAGAGAGTTATTTAAAAGGTCAAACATTTCTAACCTTGTGATGTTGGAAAAAACCTGTCACATATATTGCTGTGGAACAATTTGTGCACTTATTATGGGGTACGAGAAGTAATATTCTTGGTTTTCTATAATTCCTTTTTATAGTTAATGAATGATTAAGTTTGTAACTCTGAAATGAAAGAATGCAGAGGTTAAAAGGAATGTAGGCATAAAGGATCTTGGTACTTTCTGTTGTCCTAATGTGAAATGGAAGTAAAGTTTATATATTTCAGATAAGATAATGAAAGGTTATAAATACTCATCACTTATACTTTGATAGTAGATATAGGGTCTATATCCATAATCACAATTCCTCCAGAATAATTTAAGTAGAATTTTTCCATGTTGCTTTTGAAGAGAGATCCATGCACTAAAGAATCCAAGCATATAGGAAGTAAAGGTGGAATTTTCTTTTTATAAAAGTTGAATATTCTGACTTCGAGTGCCACTTTTCATGAAGGAATATACAGATATTCATTCAACACTGATGACTTTATAAATTCTCTCATGAGCTTTTTAAGTACTTTGCTTAACATCTCATGTTAGCATTCTTTCTGTATCAATAATTGTAAAGAAAATTATGTTCAAAAAATTTTATATAATCTGTTTTTCTACTATAAATTATTCATTTAACAGTTACTAGTTATTAACTTTACACTCTTTAGAATTCTATATTCTGTTAATTGCTAGTTAACAAGAAAAGCAAGTTCATGACCTTCAAAATAGTGATAATAATAATAATAACAGTAGTGTAAAGATACAGACATAGATAAATCAGTGAGATAATTACAGAAATCACTAAGTTTATTTTTAGGAAAGTGCAGCAAAAAAGTACAAAAAGAAAAGCATACCTAAGCTAGTTAATGTAAGAGAGAATGTTACAAATGCCTGCCAGGGAGAAAATACCGTCTTTAAATATGGATGGTGATTAGGCAGAAAAGGGGAGAGAGGTCTTCTCAGGAGGAGTGAACAGCTTGTGCAGTGGGCAGAGGTCAAAGCCAGCATGCATGGAACACTCCAGAAACTACAATAACTTCATTACTTCTAGAAAATTTAAGTAAGTGCAACTTGCATAGTCATATAATTAGATAAATATAACTAGTGTATCTTAATCAAGAGCTAATAGGAAAAGAAGCTAGGCAGGAAACATGCTTTGACATTTCTTAGGGGACTTGGAATTTATCCAGAGGGAAATCACTGAATATAATGAAGGCAGTGACATGGTCTAAATACATATTTGAAAATGATATTATTTATTTGAAGAAAGTGACTGGGATGGAATTCAAGGGAAAATTTCAGGCCCTGAGAACAGTTAAGGTTCTAAAGAAGTAGATGCTGAGAGAGAAGAGTTTTCCAGTGATGGCAAACCTTCTAAAGCTTTTGGTGATAGCATGCCCAGTTCAGCACATGTGCCGTAAGTTCACTACCACTGGTTTAGACTAAGTAATGATAAAGGCAGTGGTGACAGCACATAAGGTTCTGTTGGCTATGCCCACTTAGATGGATATGTGAAGGGTGTCTTAGAATTTGACTTATACGAAGAAAGTTCCATAACTTGCAATTTTCCTTAAGCAGATAGCTCAGTGTAAAGGGTTTGTAAAACTATGTGAACATAGATTGAAGAAAAGCAGGTAGAGATATTGAGCTAAATTTTAGAAAAGCTAAGATCAAAGTACTTACATCCCCTCTAATAAGATACATCTGAGAGATTGTTAAATAGTCACAGAACACAGAGGAATAATCTGATCTGAGGAGGAAACTGAGTCGGCAAAATGAAGATAGTGATTGAAATGAGAAGGAAACCACTGAGTAGGTGTAAAGTGAGGTAAAAAAGAAAGGAGTTAGAAATAACTTGGTTGAGGGCCGTGTATTTAGCTCAGTGTTTTGGTGGCCTGCCTTGCAAGGGCAAGGACCTGGGTTCGATTCCCGGTACCAAAAAAAGAAAAAAAACAAATAACTTGGTTGAAGAAATATAAAGAGGGTCAGGGATTTAGCTCAGTGGTGCTGCTGCCTGCCTCGCAAGTGCAAGGTCCTGAGTTTGATCCCCGGTGTGTGTGTGTGTGTGTGTGTGTATAGAGTCTGATTTGAAGTATTTTCTAAATTTGATAATTACAATTAGTTTTCTGTTATAATGAATAAAATTAGATTATGCTGATCACTTTCCTATTGCTGAGAGAAAATTGCTGATGTGTGTGTGTGTGTGTGTATAGTATCTGATTTGAAGTATTTTCTAAATTTGATAATTACAATTAGTTTTCTGTTATAATGAATAAAATTAGATTATGCTGATCACTTTCCTATTGCTGAGAGAAAATTGCTGACATCCACAACTTCATGAATGAGAGATTTATTCAGCTTACAGTTGTCGGTGCGTTCAGTCCAATACTGATTGAATTCTAAGCCTAAACAGCCTAGTGGAAGCAGCTGGCAGAGGACAGCTGCTCATCTCTGCAGGAAGCAGAAAGAGAGAGGAGGACTCAGGGAGAAGAAGAACATATCCCTCCCAGTCACTTCCAACTGGGCCTCCTCAAACCAGGCCCCACTTCCTAGCAGAACATTCAGCTATGCAATTCTTCAGCGAATGAATCTGCTTGAGCGTATGCTCCAGGCACCTTACTAGCACACGAGTCTTTTATGGGACATTTTCGATCTGACTCATGCACAAGTAATCTGTAGCAGTTACGATTTTCTAAAGCCCATACTTGTGAGTGCCTGAAGAAGTGCTTTCTTCGGATATTTTCTGGAAATAGGTATCAGTGATACATTTTGTTTCAGTAATTTGCTAACAACCTTTACATACACATTTGGAATGTAGCAGATCCAGTTTTCTCATGGTTTGTTTCCTTTGTGGAAACATTTTATAGACATGAACACGTATTTCAACATATGTTCAGATTTACAAGGCATTGCTGTTTTCATAAAGTTCTAACATTTTTTTTTCAAAGTTAGTAAAAGTAACAGAAACTAAAATTTTCCAGGTAGAAAAAAAAAACACTGCCTTTCTTCCTTGTCTTTCATTGGTGAGAAAATTTCATGTTAGTATTTTTATTTACTAAAGGAAACCATCCGAATAAACTGTTTTTTTTTTTTTTAAATTCCGTTCATAGGGTCATCCTAAAGAAAAAAACAGGAAAAGTTCACAAATCATGAACCATGTGACTCTACCTTTATAGTCAGCATTTTTTCCTAAAGTATCCTTTGAATCTGCAAATTCCCATTCCCTTTAGTTATGTCTTACACAACATGGACCTACTTGCTTGTCTCTTTCCATCGAGGTCTATCGCCAGATGTGTCTTGCATGTGTTATTTCTTTCCCAATTCTTTCCCACTTCTACTGTCCTATTATGGAACTGGTATGACAAGTTGACTCCCCAGTTTGAATGGCCTATTGCCATAGCGGTTTATGTCGCAATCATGCATGTCCATTTGACAGCAATGGCACACGCAGAGTTCTACTCTGTGGATACGGGTATCCAGGTGATGGGACTTCTACCTATTTTACAAGTGGTTTCCATGATTTCCCTACTATCTGTTACAAGCCAGGAGATAGTGGAAGAAGACTAAATGTTACAAGTTCAAAAGGTGACCCTTAGACTATAAATACTCTAGGTACTTGAGCACTAAATTAATTGCAATTCTACCTGATCAAAAGGCCCAAAGTAGATATAGATTGTGGGTCACTTATTAAGCAATGTATATTAAATGGTGTCTATAGGCTAAATTGATATTTAGTAATACTCATTGATGCATTAATTAATGGAATTTAAGCTATCACCTGTTCAAAATGTTTCAAAAGAGACATGTAAGAAATTCCTGACATAGGGAGGGGATTTAGCTCAGTGGTTCCTACATCTGCCTCCCAAGCACAAGGTCCAGAGTTTGATCCCCAGTTCCCCCCAAAAAAGAAATTCTTGACATAAGCAGGAAAAACAAGATTTTAGAACTGCTTGACATAATAATAATAATAAAAAAAAACATTTTAGAACTACAAAATTGCAGCAATCACAAAGGATGCCAGACTTACAAAATAATGGGGTATGTTGATAGGCTGTTTCAGTGTCTTTGATTACCATAGAATTTTATATTATGAATTAAAATACAAGCTCTATATGTTTGTTTTGTATGTAAGCATGTGTATGCATACAAAATGTAAGTACAACTAAAATAAGATTAAAGTCTAATCTATTCATTTTTAAAGATTATCTTGCTTTCAGCCATAAAACAATTCCTTACATAAATATAAGCTTTAAATCATTTAAATTCTTTATGTGATTTGAATGCTAGTGTACCATTAATCTATTCTTCAGAGTATTAAAACCATTTGTTTAATTGTTGAGGTAGAAAATTGAATACATTTTCTAACCCTTTCCATTCCCAAGTTGTTACATTTTTGCCATCAAAAGTTTTCATTTCTGCAATATCTAATCTCATTACATTGTTCTTTTTTGTGTTATTTCTGCATTCAAAGCACCAAAGGGAAAATAATAGCCTAACGGTTTTATGTGGAAATAAAGTCTTGAATGTATTTTCAAAAAATGGTATAACAGGGCAATGTGAAGTGGAGAAGCCGAAGCCATGAAATTACATTTTACTTTCAAATTTGAATTTGTTTGTTGATGAAAACTTTGATAGTGTCAGACCAGTGCCATATTTGAACTCTTAGTAATTTGGAGCACACTGGACTCAGCCTTCAGTTGCTAATACCATTTCCTGTCCTTTGCCTGCTCTCCAGATCGGTTCTCTATGTTGGCCAATAATAATCTACAGATCCTCAACATCAATAAAAGTGATGAAGGGATATACAGATGTGAGGGAAGAGTGGAAGCTAGGGGTGAAATTGACTTCCGTGATATTATTGTTATTGTTAATGGTAAGTAACAGATATTTCTTGTTTTTTTTTCCTATTGTTCATTTCAGCTGTATGTGTATTGAAAGGGCAAGTGTGTTAACCCCACACTCAGTACTTCCTTCATGAATAATTTTTGTGCCTAAGAGAAGTCTACCCATGTCTCTGATAGTCACTGTCATCCTACCATTCTATCATTGTACTGTTGTCATCCTCATGGGCAGGATCTCTGACTTATTCGGCTGCCTCCTTAACATGGCTTTCCTGAGTCTGGAAGCTACCTTTTGTTGTGTGAGTACTTGCGGAAACAGTGCTAAGTAAAACATTGTAAAGTATCACACTAGATTATATTTTCAGTCAAATAAATCACCTATTTTATTGTTTAAATTAATTTTGCACATTATCTGCATCTCTCAACTTTAAGAACTGAGTTCAGAAAATTACTTTTCAAATATCAATAGACATTAATATCTACGTCTGTGAAGCCAGTGAGATATGTTTCCTATCAAACTTGCTTTTTGTATTATATTCCCTTTTTTGGTTAATAAATTATTCTGTGAGGCTAGAACATGTGTTAAAGTTTTGGCAAGTGTCCCCATTTGGGTTTTCTAGTGTGTGGAGGGCCCACTGTATTCCTTTAACTTCTCCCACATATGTCCTGTTGTTTCTATTTTAACACCATTCTTTGAGGGTGCTGAGCTTCATTTCATTTTTTCTTGAATTGCTATATGGGTTTTCTACTCTTTTTTTTCCATTAAGTTTATTGGTGCATTTTGGGTATACATTATGATCACATTCATCATTGAAAATTTGTACCTATACATGATATATCTTGTTTCTTGTTTTTTTTTCTCCATTCCCTTTTCTTCCCTTTGCCCCTTCTACCCCTCCCTATATATAATAGATAATGTAAAATAGGAAGAAAAGATCCAAATGGAAAAGGGAAGTAGGGAGGGGAGTGGGGGAAAGGAAAGAAGAGAAAGACAGAAAAAAACACACAAGAAAGGAGGAAAATAATGGATTCTCTCTTAATCTCACTGCCTCACCTACCTCTCTACCAAACATTCCAGCCTAGTAATTCTTCAGAGCTTCCCATTACCTTACCTTCAAGCAAAAATTAAAATGGCTCTTCTTGGTATAGCAAATCCTTTGTAACTGGCCTCTCTCTTTTGTATTCAATCATGAACAACCTGTAATTCAGCTGTATACAAACCGGGTCTGCAGAGGAGATCTAATTATTCAGAGGCATTTTTAGATGCATTTAGCTCAGTAATTATAATACCATAGTCAGTGGAGTATTTGACTTTCAGGACAGGAAGATTTCAGAGCAAACAAAGAGTTTTTTGTATGGATGTGTCTGTCTATATCTGGATCTATATCTTCATTTGGATCTATATGCATCTCCCATCTATTTATTGTATAAAATAAAAAGGGTAGCAAACAGTGACTATTTAGTTTAATTATTGCTTCATCTGTTAACCTTTGGTTTCCCAAAAGATTCATGGAGGCAAATAGTCTGTGCTCTATATTCTGTTATGTACATAGGATATTAAATATTAGTTGATAAATATAAAACTCCAAATATATATATATATATATATATATATAAATATAAAAGTTCCAAGTTTATAGGAAAGAGTATATAAGCATTTTACTCTTTCATAATTATTAAGTTATTACATACAATAAGTATATGTACCTCTATATTAAAATATTTATTACTATATTATATTAAAACATCTGGTTTACATAGTATGCTAATTTTTGTTATCACCTTTGATATCATAATTTCTACTTCACCATATTCTTTGATACATTTATTGCATGCCTTGTTTGCATATTATAATCTGAGAATATTAATGTATTTATGATTATATTTCTTTTGAAGAAATGATTATTTGAGTATGAAAATGCATCCATATCAAAGTTTGAATCTTCAAGTTCATTTATGGTCTGTGTTCAAATTCGAATATTTAGTTCTATATTTTTCCACATTTTAGAATCTGTAACAAATACTGAATGCTCTATGCTGTGCCAATCAGAGCATTCATGTAGAAAACGCCCTGTTTTGTCTGAGTCAGATTGATCTTCCCCAAAGCAAGCCCTCCTCCTCCCACTTTCCTCTAACAAAATAAGTCACAGTTCCTAATCTGAATTCTTTGTTTGCACAGTGCCAACTAGAAACCTTTTCCCTTCACAGTCACAAACTTTCATACCTCAGAATCCTTAGAACCAGTTTTCTTCAAAAGTACAACCTTCACAGGATTTACCTTTGGTTCAGTCCTCCACCGAGTAAGGCAGTGCGACTCTGTCAAGACAGCTTGTGCTTGGCTCTCGCATTTCTCCTTGACTCCAGCCAGGGAAAGCTCTGTCTCTATTCAAGTGTTGCTGGCTCTTGTCCTGCCTACTGGCTCCTTTAAAATATTGAGATTCTGAGGATATTTTCCCTTGTTATAACTCTCATAAAATCCCTTGAAGATTTTTTAGTGAAACCTTTGAGACTGCAAATAGTAATAATCAAAGCAGTACTATCCCACATTGTTTTATATTTGTTCAATTACAAAATCTGACTCTTGCTATATGTATTTATCCCCAGTTCAAATTCTGCACTTTCTCACTGGCTTTTTACTGACTTTTCTCCTTACTCTTCATTCCATTGTTGGTTCTTTGCAAAATTTTCCTTCTTGTTCCATCCTACCAATTCATAATATGTTGTTTCAACAATGAGTTGAAAAATATCCTTGCTAGATTCCTTGTAGTACCCGCCATGAGGTGCGCTTCCAAGGGTGCCTGTGCCTTGCTCTGCCCTGTGGCTTATATAAACAGAGTATGCACCAATGAAGTAGTCTGTATCATCTATCTCTTCTGCCATAAAACTTCTTGACTTAGGTAGGAACTAAGTCTTCATTACTATGTTGAAGATACAGGAAGCAGAGATGTTGCTGATCTGCAGGAGCAGATGTATGATTAAGAAATAAAGCATTTCATTAAACAATGAAAGTTTACAATTGGTATTACACAAAGGTCAGTGTTCTGGCAATTCTGTACTTCCTTCAGGATTAAAGTGGACAACCTCTTGAGTAGCCTGAGTAAAATTCAGATTACAATGACATGAAGCATCAAGTTACAAGTACATTTAATGAAGAATATATGTAAAGAGATAAAGACTTATGAACGCTGGTACAGTTATTCCCAAATATTAAATAGGATATTTAAGGAGGATGTGAATTTTGCTCTGTCAAGTGGGAATAAGTATAATATGGCTTACAATGATGATGAATTACCAGAGAGGTCTGCTTAATATTTTGAGAGAAGTCTTGCTACATGACTTCAGCACTCTATTTTTAATTATATGGCTCCTTTTATTTTTTCTAGACATTTAAAAATAATTTTCTATGCTTACTTTCTGTGTTCAAATTTAGTTTCATTGGGTATTCCGGCAAGGTTTACAGTCTACCTAAAACTTTTTTAAAAAATATTTTTACTAGCCTACCTGCTACTGCTTTCCTTTTATTATCATACATTTTTTGACTCTTGACATAATGTATGAGATCTTTCCAAAGCTGATTAACAGGACATTTACTGAATTAGCTATCTGTCTTTTCTTTGATTTCTGGATTTTTTGGCTGTATAATTTCACCATACATGTGTAAAACCACATCTACTTGCACACAAATCATGGCTATACTCTTTAGAAGAGATCAGTGTCATCTGTCTTGCTTTGATCAGTGTACATCCTCCAGCATATGATTTCCCGCTCAACATACCTATTCAGAAAATGTCCCTAAGAATGAAAGAGCTGGAAATACCTTTCAAAGTTAAAATACAGTCAGTAGAGGACTACTTTTAAAAAATATTCTTTTCTACTGAAATGATCCATTATTTTCTAAATCTGCTGTAAATTTGTGAAGAAAGACCCACTAACTGCAGGTTCTAATTTAAGGTAATAGAGGAGGAAAAATTGAGATTGAATGAAAAACACCTAGTAGTATAATTTTACAGCAGTTGAGCTTCTTTTTCAACATTGTAATCAACAGTGAATGAAAATGGGCAGAGATATTTGTGCAAATGAGTGTCTAAATATAAAGTGCACTTTGTTATCTCAGTAACACTCAGGCAGTGATTTTATATTCTTTCCTATTTGTAGTCACTTTTGAAGGTCAAGAAAATGTGGAAAAGTGCTTTACTTCTTATTATAACTGAAAAATATTTCATAATGTTCCCTATTAAGTTTCATGCAGTGTTACAAAACATAAAGCATTTAAAAGTATAAAAGACATTAAAAAGCCTCTGTACTTCCATGTATTATGAATAATATAATTGAATCGACCAACCATACAGCTAGATTTTTTAAATCACTTAAACAACTGTAATTTGTGAATGAACCTGTAATTATAATGTGCAAAATGCAGTACATAACTTACTCAAGAATCAATAATTAAGCATTTTTTAAAACTAGAATATTTACTAATTTTTTTTTCCTAAATGTCTCGTTGAATTTAAAGACTAGTAATCAGTGAATATACAGTGGTATGTCTCTGTTTCCTTAATAATTATTTTAGTTTATAGTTTTTAAAAATTAGAGAATGAGAGAGACATGAGCCATATACATAGAGCTAAACATACTTTCTTGCCTTTCTCCTTCATGTTAGCAGTTGATATAAATTAATATAGTCCCTTACCTTTATTTTTAGTGTTGATATTTCTTGACCATCCAGATTTTTCTGAATACAATGAAACTGGTGTAATTTCATATTTGAATGGCTATAGAAACACTTATATTCATTTTGCAACATAGCTCTTTTAATCCCTGATGAGAGAAGAAAAAGAAAAAGCAGAATTTTCTCAGTTTTGAATCATGTCCAACCTCTTATTTCACCTGTCTTCCAGATGGCAATCTTCTGTTGTTATGTAGGGATTGAGCTGTGCTGTTGTTTTTAACCTAAAGTTATACTGATAAATATAAAATTTAGTCCTATCATTTATGGAAAAATTACCAACTATAAATAAGAATTTTCAGAACT